TTTTCATGCACTGTGAATAATTCAAACAGGAAGAGCTGAGACACACTGTATCAAGACTTAAACAAAGACAACTCTGGCGTCCCAATTTAGAAAATCTAACACCGCAAGTTTGCCTTCCTCTAAAATCTTTTTTGCACTGCCATTGAAATCGGCTGAGGTGGAAATTGAACTGTCATGGGAGTGAGAAAACTGCCACCACTTAAAAGTACTGCAATTAGCTTAGCAGTACTGCTATATGCAGCTACCTAGCTTTTATGGACTGTAATTTAGGTATAGTTCACCTAAAAACTAATATTCTGCCATCATTTTACTCATTCTTAACTTGATCCAAACCAGTTTGAGTTTCCTTTTTCTGTTTAACACAAAGGAATATATAATGAATGTGTTTATATTAGTGTTTTTTGTACATGCTACATCAAAGGCTGCTTTTTTCCAACAGTCTTGTTAATATCTTGTACCTCCTGAAGTATTTTCCGGAAGAAAGAAGTTCATAAATGTTTAGAACCACTTTAGTGTGATAAAATGTAACCCCCATTACATTTACCAATACACCCCCCCCAACCCCGCCCCCCCGATTGATCCCTTCTATAGCATATTAGACAACAGCATTAACAAAACAGCATTAACATACAAAACATACAGCATTAATTCATATTAATGAAACAATCTGATGATAAATACTAGCTACTTGCTAAAATTAAAGAAATATTCATGCTAGCAGTTTGTCAAAACATTAGCTTACATGCTTAAGTCAGTATACTAAAGCAGATTATTATTATATTCTTCAAAAATCATGTTCAAACCAGCTACAGATATGTTAGCAACTTTGCTATGCTAATTATGCTAGAAACACACTAGCGGTGTGTTAATTAATTTTTCCCTGCTAGAAAAAAAAAACAAAAAACAGCTTAAACCAGCCTAGGCTGGTTGGCTGGTTTTAGCTTGTCAACCAGCCTGGTTTTACTTGGCCATTTCCAGGTTGGTTTTTAGCCTTGTTTTAGCTGGTCAAGCTGGAAAATGACCACCTAAAAGCAGCTTGACCAGCCTGCTTTAAGCTGGACGTAGCCGGTTTTGGCTGAGCTCCCAGCCTGGCTAGGCTGATCAAGCTGGTTTTAGCTAGTCATCTCCTAGCCTGACCAGCTAAGACCAGGCTGGAAATGACCAAAACCCCTTAAAAAACCAGGCTCGTCGACCAGCCAACCAGCCCAGGTTGGTTTAAGCTGTTTTTTTTTCAGCAGGTAATTCATACTAAACATACTTTCTCTAGGATTTTTAGTACAACCTTCTGATTTCAAGCTTCACAAAGTCGAAGCTTTGTTTTTTTATGCTAGCAACATGATACCAAGGTTGCGTCCGAAACCGCCTACTCAGTAGGTACTGCATTTGAATTTAAACATACTACTCGGCCGTTAGAAAAGTATGTTCTATACAGTATGAATGTGAAAAGTATGAATGGAATTCAGACGTACTACATCCGCCATTTTGTCATGGTCACGTGACCTACATGCGTCAGTTGCGTAGGTTTCCTCCCATTCATGAATTCGCTTGCAGGCAGAATGGGATAGCACAGCATACATGGGATGCGCACTACAGAATCTCGCCGGAAGTAGTAAGTCATCCAGCTACTTCTCGCATACTGATTTTCGAATTCTATGAATTCGGACATACTACTCGGCTTTTTCATTGCAAATTCACTGTAAAGATTCTGGATCTCAAATCAAAATGTTTATTACTGCTATTTTTCTGCTATTGAAAACATTTTATTGTTTTGCTTTGACTTATTTGAGTACATTCAAAATTTCAGACCAAGCCAGGACCAAAGGTAGTGATCAGAATGTAATACTTACTTACTCCAAAGGACATTTATATTATAGTTGTCATTTAGCCGCACTATATTGGTGTTTCGTAACATCTAGGTTAGAGCTGTAATCGGGGTTATAAAAGTTAGCCCCAATATGGCCTGAGCCTGACAAGTGCATTTTGATTGACATCTTTTTGAAAGGCCGATCCTGTTTACAGCCTGACATTATTTAAATGTGCACATGCACACCGCTCTTTTGCCTTTTTTCAAGAATGAGTTATTTATACGAGTTTTAACATAGTTTATTCATAATAAACATAGGCTATAGGTCACTTAGAAGTTGGTACAAAGAAATAAAATAGGTTCTCTGTAACATTGCAACATCTCAGCACTTTAAATAGGCCTAGGTTCATACACTTAGCCTTTAAATTGGGCAACCCACCAATAAAAATAAGTCTTTCCTAACAAATTAAATTAAAATAAATTCTAAACTATGACAGGTATCTGGCATTAAACGAAATTAAGATAAAAGCTCTGTGGGATTTGTTTCGCCACTTCTCTTCACAATCTAGCCTTAAGGCGACGGTGAAGCTGAATAATAAAAGAATAATGCCAACATTAGCCTATAAACTCTGTCTACATTGTGCAGTTATCATTTTATTAATATTTATTTATAATTTGAAAATACTTTACTCACCAAGGCTACGGATTTTTGTGGAGGAACATTATTGAATCCACTGTAGGTGGCTTTAGCGTGGTGCTCACTTCAGTAGCACTGAACACCCTTTCACTGCTGCTGCTTCTAGCCGGGATGCATATTACTGATCTGGCTAATTTTGCCAGTTCTAGGTAGGATTGCTTGTTCATCTACCACCAGCCAAGAACATCCATTTCATTTTCCATGACAGCGGTTTCAATGTAGCGAGTGACCTCATCGTTTTCCCTGTCAGCTTGCTGTACATTTTTCCACTCTGCAAAAGTCGATCTTTTTGACTTCTCCATCATCGTTTGTTTCACCTTTGCAGGGATGGGTTTTGAAATTGCAACAAATGATTTGATTATTTTCTAATGCTAATCGAAATGCATCACATGACTGTTCATTTACTGCGCAAGCCGGAGTGCACACCCGAACCCACCCGACCCTGTCTAAAATTATAGAAATTAAGCCCGAACCCGTCAGTTCCCTTCGGGTTCGGGCCAAGATATTCAGCTCTAATCTAGGTGGGTTGTAAGCTCAACGCTCAACCCCCAACCTGGAGGACCAGGACATCACACATACACTACGGACAATTTAGCTTACCCAACTCACCTACAGCCCATGTCTTTGGACTGTCAGGGATATTGCAACACCCGGAGGAAACTCATGCGAACACGGAGGTCATGCTTCCTCCACAAAGAAATGCCAACTGACCTTGCTGTGAGGCAATAGCACTATCCACTGCACCACCGTGTCGATCAAACTTTAATAATTTAATATAATAAATAGTTTTATTGATGTTTTTGTTTTTCTGTAATTTGTTTTTCAGATTCCCCGACTGTTCGTATGAAGTCTGACCCCGTGTTTGTGAACATAGGAGACACTGCAGACTTACTGTGTGTTGCTGATGCCAATCCCATCACCTCCAGTATGTTCTCATGGAAGTGGATGGTGAGTGATGTCCTTGTCGTTCCCGTTTTGCTTATTCTCTCCATTCCTTCTTTATATCGTGCTTTGTTAGCCTAGCTCACTGGCTTTCTCTCTTTTTATCACGTCTATTTATCTCTCCTCTTTGTCTCCAACTCCCTCTTTCTCTCTGACTTCTTTTTTTCTCACCATGTGTCACAGCTACTCTGAGCTATATTTCACCCTTCTAACTACAACGATGTCTCACCTTTATGCTTAATACTTCTGGTGTAAATGGAGAAAAATAGCTTTCATTAAAGCTACCTTTCCAAAGGCCACATTTCTCAACGTTAGCCACAATTGGGGCCGTTTCTGACCATTTGCGCATCGAAAGTGCCCCATATTCGGAGACGGTATCTGTGATACTTCAAGCCGCCCTTCTGTTTTTATGTTTTTATGTGCATATATGTGAAAATTTATGTTGGTATGAAGTTGTTGTCTTCCTTTAGCCCTGTCTGTCTCTTTTTGGTTGTGAGATTGTGGCTTTTCTATACCTGTGTGATTCTATATTTGCAGGCGTTTTTTTATGTTTTTTTTTTGTTTGTTTGTTTTTTAAATAGTTAATACAGAGCATCCGGAAAGTATTCATAGCACTTCACTTTTCCCACATTTTTTTATGTTACAGCCTTATTCCAAAATGGATTAAATTGATTTATCTTCTCAAAATTCTACACACACAATACCCCATAATGCCAATGTGATAGAAGATTTTTTGAAATTGCAAATTGCTAATTTAAATAGCAAATTTAGTTGCAGATTTATAAAAAGTAAAAAACCTGAAAAATCACCTGTACTTAAGTATTCACAGCCTTTGCCGTGAAGCTCCAAATTGAGCTCAGGTACATTCTGTTTCCACTGATCATTCTTGAGATGTGCCAGCAGCACAAACCAAGCATGAAGACAAAGGAATTGTCTGTAGACCTCTGAGACAGGATTGTCTCAAGGCATAAGGTTGGGGAAGGTTACAGAAACATTTCTGCTTTTCTGAAAGCTCCAATGAGCACAGTGGCCTCCATCATCTGTAAGTGGAAGATGTTTGAAACCACCAGGACTCTTCCTAGAGCTGGCCAGCCATCTTAGCTGAGTGATCGGGGGAGAAGGGCCTTAGTTAGGGAGGTGATCAATGTTCACTCTGCCTGAGCTCCAGCGTATTTCTCTGGGGAGAGGAGAACCTTACAGAAGCACAACCATCTGTGTTGCAATCCACCAATCAGGTCTGTATGGTAGAGTTGCCAGACGGAAGCCACTTTCTTCCTGGAATTTGCCAAAAGGCATCTGAAGGATTCTCTGACCATAAGAAACTAAATTCTCTGGTCTGATGAGACTAAAATTGAACTCTTTGGAGTGAATGCCAGGCATTACGTTTGGAGAAAACCAGGCACCGCTCATCACCAGGCTAATACCATCCCTACATACAAGCATTGTGGTGGCAGCATCATGCTCTGGGATGTTTTTTAGCAGCAGGAACTGGAAGACTAGTCAGGATAGAGAGAAATATGAATGCAGCAATGTACAGAGACATCCTGAATGAAAACCCGCTTCAGAGTGCTCTTAACCTCAGAATGGAGTGACGGTTCATCTTTCAGCAGGACAATTGCCCAAAGCACACCGCCAAAATAGCATTGGAGTCGCTTTACAACAACTCAGTGAATGTCCTTGAGTGGCCCAGCCAGAGCCCAGACCTAAATCCTATTGAACATCTCTGGAGAGATCTGAAAATAGCTGTACACCTTCACTTCCAATTCAACCTGATAAAGCTTGAGAAGTACTGCAAAGAGGAATGGACAAAAATTACCAAAGACAGGTGTGCCAAGCTTGTGGCATCATATTCATAAATACTTGGAAGCTGTAATTGCTGCCAAAGATGCATCAACAAAGTATTGAGTAAAGGTTGTGAATACTTATGTACTTGTTATTTTTCAAGTTTTTTATTTTTAATAAATTTGCAACAATTTCAAAAAGTATTTTTTCACATTGTCATTATGGGGTATTGTGTGTAGAATTTTGAGTGTATAAATAAAATTTAATCCATTTTGGAATAAGGCTGTAACAAAAAAAATGTGGGAAAAGTTAAGCGCTATAAATACTTTCCGGATGCACTGTAAACACTCACCGGTACTTACACATATGCACAGCCACTTTTATTGGTACACCTGTCCAACTGCTTGTTAGCGCACATTTCTAATCAGCCAATCACATGGCAGTAACTCAATGCATTAAGGCATGAGGATATAGTCAAGACCAGGGGTGCCCGAAATTTTTCTTATGAAGGGCCAAAATCCAAGCTTGAAAGTAAACATCGCAAACTGTATTACATTAAGGATGCCATGGGTAATTTTCTAATTTATTTCATAAAATGTAAAAATATGTAGAAAAATTTACTTTGACCGTATTTACTATGCATTCTAATTTTTCTATTATTTTTATGAACCTATTACAATAAAACCATACAAAAAATTCCACTTATAAAACAATGGAGCAATTCTGAATACCCTAGTCATGCTGAACTAGCCTTTGCATTGATTTGCATGCTGATGTCTTCTGCTTTGTCTCGTATTTGTTGTGACAGTATGTACATTTTTAAAAAAAAAACTGATTCATTTACAACATTTAATTAAATCATTTAATTTCAGCTCGCTTTTTTGTCACTCAACAATCAAACAAACAAAAGGTTACCTTAAAATAAAACTAAGAATCTCTGTTAAAGGGTTTCCCCAACCCTTTCCAATCATTTTCCCTCTGGTGGGCCAAATCAAAGGATATAATAGGCCAACTTTGGCCCTTTGTTAGTTTGGGCATCACTAATCAAGACGATCTGCTGTTTCCTCCGGTGACCTGGTTTCCCCCTACAGTCCAAAGACATGAGCTATAGGTAAATTGGTTAAAACTAAATAGTTGGCGGTTCATTGCACAGTTGCAATCCCTGATAAATAAGGGAATAAGCTAGAGGAAAATTTATGTATATATATATATATATATATATATATATATATATATATATATATATATATATATATATATATATTTTTTTTTTTTTTTATTATTATTTTTCAAATAGAAATCTTGTTTTTTACAAGCTCTGAATTATTTAAATTTAATTTGTTTTCAATAAGACACTTGAATTAATGTAAATGCAAATTGTATTTAAAAAATATAGAATCAGTTCTTTTTAATATAAAGGGTGAAGGAGAAAGAGATGAACTTGGAGAGGAAAGTGAAGATGACGGCACTGGCGTGTTGACTATATATGAGGTGACTCGTGACCGTGCAGGTGTTTACCAGTGTACAGCAGACAACGGCATTTCACCTACTGGCAGTGTGGAAGGACAGCTCATTGTACGCTGTGAGTTTGTTTGTTTGTTTTTTAACTTAACATTAAAAAATCCATTAAACTATTTTTGAATAAATGCTGTCCTAAACATTTTCCATACCAGAATCATGAATATATATATATATATATATATATATATATATATATATATATATATATATATATATATATATATATATATATAGAGAGAGAGAGAGAGAGAGAGAGAGAGAGAGAGAGAGAGAGAGAGAGAGAGGGAGAGGCATGTAGTACATTTTCAACAAATTGATTTGCTTTAAATCATCTAAATCGCAGCATCAGCGACAGCAAAAGCCGCTGTGTCCTGAGAACCAATCAGATGATGCGAATTGAATCATATGTTTTTAATGTAGCAGCGCCCTGATACGCCGGCTTTCATGAGGAGACTGAAAAAGATTGAAAAAGTGGATGAGCCTGTCCGACTGTCATTAATTGCCAAATGAAAATGTTCCTTAGCTAAAAACTCTGTGCATTTTAAGGAAAAGAAAACACACTGTACAGTCGAAAATGTAGCATGCATTCATAACGTGTTTTTGCACATTGACCCTACTTTAAATGACTCCAATTTACTAAACGTTAAACGACAACACTGTTTCACGAAAGACAGTTAAGATGTCGTTCTTTTATACATGGATGTTATGAGGATAAACAAGGGACCAAGATGATGAATGAATGAGTGACAGCTTCTGTGTGTGTGTGTGTGTGTGTGTGTGTGTGTGTGTGTGTGTGTGTGTGTGTGTGTGTGTGTGTGTGTGTGTGTGTGTGTGTGTGTGTGTGTGTGTGTGCGTGTGTGTGTGTGTTCATGATTCTGTATATATTAGGGTCTGCATAAAAATATTAATCGGTGCAATTATTTTCAACATTTACACTCAAAAATAAAAATATTGTTGTCTGTTCAAGCTGCTTGTTTATAATGAGCTGAATCAACACAATTCTTGAGAGGTTTTTTTTTTAGGTAACTTCACTGTTTTATGTTCAATTCACTTAAAGTTGGAAAAACAGTTAAGTTAACTTAAGAAGTTTGTGTTGGGACAACATGAAGGAATTGTGTGCAATCAAGCTTTTTAATTTGTTTTTACAAATTTAAGTGGATTAAACAAAATCAATTGAGCTGTCCCCCCAAAAATCAATAATTGTGTTGTTTTAACTCATTTTAAATGAGTGTTATATTGATCTGTGAAATGCATTGGAGACTGTTCTAAATATAGCTTTTTTTGATGCAGGAATGAATTGCATTAATTAATTAATTAATTTATTTATTTATTTGTTTATTTATTTATTCATTTATTTATTTATTTATTTATTTATTTATTTATTTATTTATTTATTTGTTTGTTTATTTATTTTATGTTGTATATTATGGATAAATTATTATTATTATTAAATAGTAATATGGTCTGGTCTGGACAACTGGAATCTGTCTAATGAATGAGTTTGAACCTGTTGTGTGTTCTTGCAGTTGCTCCAGATCTTCAGAAGGGGCCACAGTGGAGGAAAGTGGCCAGTCGAGGGGATGGCAGCAACGATGCTAATGTGGTGTGTCAGGCTCAAGGTGTTCCTCGTGTTCAATTTAGATGGGCCAAAAATGGGTTCCCGCTGGACCTCGGCAACCCCAGGTGATTTGCTCTTGAAGTTTTGTTTTGTTTTGTTTTGTTTTTTGTTTTGTTTTGTTTTGTTTTGTTTTGTTTTGTTTTGTTTTGTTTTGTTTTGTTTTGTTTTGTTTTGTTTTGTTTTGTTTTGTTTTGTTGCTCCGTCAATATTGCTAATTTTTTGACAGTATTATCCATGTAAAACAGTAATTGAGGTAATTCAGCTGTAGTTGTAGTAGTAGTTCGTGTTGTAGTTGTAGTAGTTGTGTTTGTTGTTGTAGTTGTTGTTTTAGTAGTTGTAGTACTTGTGTTTGTAGTGGTAGTATTTGTAGTTGTTGTAGTACTTGTAGTAGTTGTTTTTGTAATAGTAGTAGTTGTTGTAATTGTAGGAGTAGTAGTTGTTGTTGTTGTTGTTGTTGTTTTTGTAGTAGTTGTAGTAGCTGTATTTGTAGTAGTTGTTGTTGTAGTACTTGTAGTTGTATTTGTAGTATTAGATGTTGTAGTAGTTGTTTTAGTTGCTGTAGTAGTAGTAGTAGTAGTAGTATTTGTTGTTGTAGTTGTAGTAATTGTAGTTGTTATAGTTTTAGTAGTTGTATTTATAGTTGTAGTAGTTGAAGTGGTTGTAGTTGATGTAGTTGTTGTAGTAATAGTAGTAGTTGTTGTTGTTGTAATAGTTGTTTTAGTAGTTATATTTGTAGTAGTTGCTGTAGTAGTAGTGGTAGTAGTAGTAGTTGTTGTAGTTGTAGTAGTTGCATTTGTTGTAGTTGTTGTAGTAGTTGTTTGGGTAGTTGTTGTAGTTGCTGTAGTAGTAGTAGTAGTAGTAGTTGTTGTTGGTATTGTTGTATTTGTAGTAGTAGTAGTAGTAGTAGTAGTTGTTGTTGTTGTTGGTTTAGTCATAGATGTTGTAGTTGTTGTACTTGTATTTGTAGTGGTAGTAGTAATAGTAGTAGTTGTTGCTGTAGTTGTTGCTTTAGTAGAAGTAGTTGATGTTGTTGTAGTTGCAGTAGTTGTGTTTGTAGTAGTTGTTGTAGTAGTTGGTGTGGTAGTTGTTGTAGTATTAGTAGTTGTTGTAGTACTTGTATTTGTAGTAGTTGTCGTTGTGGTAGTTGTAGTAGTAGTAGTAGTAGTTGTTGTTTTTGTTGTTGTAGTAGTTGTTGTGGTAGTTGTTGTCGTGGCTGTAGTAGTAGTGGTAGTAGTAATAGTAGTAGTAGTAGTAGTAGTATCAGTAGTAGTAGTAGTAGTTGTTGTTGTTGTAGTAGCTGTTGTGGTAGTTGTTATAGTTGCTGTAGTAGTAGTGGTAGTAGTAGTAGTAGTTGTTGTTGTTGTTGTAGTTGTTGTAGTTGCAGTAGTAGTAGTTGCTGTAGTTTTAGTTGTATTTGTAGTAGAAGTAGTAGTAGTAGTTGTTTTTGTTGTTATTGTTGTGGTAGTTGTATTTGTAGAAGTAGTAGTTGTTGTAGTTGTAGTAGTTGTAGTAGTAGTAGTTGTTCTTGTAGTTGTAGCTGTTTGTCTCTGGTCCCTATGGAGATAAAATGTAATGTACATTTGTATATAACATTTGCATATTATTAGTGTTGATATCAGTGTTTATGTGGGCTCACACAGGTATGAGGAGACAACCGAGTCGACAGGCACCATCCACACCAGCATCCTAACAGTCATAAATGTAAGCGCGGCTTTGGACTATGCCATATTCACCTGCACCGCTCACAACAGCATGGGCGAAGATTCTCTGGACATCCAGCTCCTCAGCACCAGTATGTACAAGATAGGCAAATGCATTAACTATAACATGTTTATACAAATATTTTTTTAGCAGTGATGGGAAAATCTGAAGGCTGACCCTCATTTTGACAGATCAAAACTGACAGTGTTTTTTTTTTTTTTAGTATTTTGGATTTGAAAATGATCAAGCTGCGTTTGCTATCAATGAAATTGTGTGTGCAAGAGGCTTTAGAGAGGACAGATTTCTTCTTAAAAATGTGTAAAATAATATTGTTATCTTTGGTCTTACAGATATGAGTACAGCAAGCTATCATTCTATAGTATCGAAAACATAAGTTAGAAGACTATTACCAGAATTACAATTTCTAAGGTCTTTTGTTCATATTTTAGTCTTACATTAGATATATAGTTTTTGATATTACTTTGTTCATATTTAGCAGTTTTTCACTGAAACAAATAAATTCATAATCTATAGCTCACAATAATATAATAAAATACAATATAATATAATATATAGCTCATAAACAAAAATGAAAATGTAAACTGAAAACAAGTTAATAAACAAGGTCTTATTATACTTTTTTGATAAATAAATGAATAAAGAAATTAATTAGCAAATGAATGAGTGACTAAATGGATGAATGAATGAATGAATGAATGAATGAATGGATGAATGAATGAATGAATGATCAAATAAATGAATAGATGAGTGAACGAGTGAATGAATGAGCAAACGAATGAGAGAATAAATTAATGGATGAGCGAAATAGTGAATGAATGAGCGAATGAATGAATGAATGAATGAATGAGTAAATAGATGGATGAATAAATAAGCAAAAGAGTGAATGAATGAATGAATCAACGAATAAATGAATGGATGAGTGAAAGAGTGAATGAATGAGCGAATGGATGAATGAACGAGCGAATAAATGAATTGATGAGCGAAAGAGTGAATGAATAAGCGAATGAATGAATGAATAGATGAGTAAAAGAGTGAATGAATGAGCGAATGAATGAATGAATGAGCTAATAAATGAATGGATGAGCAAAAGAGTGAATGAATAAGCAAATGAATGAGTGAGCAAATAAATAAATGGATAAGCAAAAGAGTGAATGAAAGACCAAATGAGCAAATGAATGAATGAGCGAGTAAATGAATGAATGAGCAAAAGAGTGAATGAATGAATGAATGAATGAATGAATGAATGAATGAATGAATGAATGAATGAATGAATGAATGAGCGAATAAATTAATAGATGAGCGAAAGAGTGAATGAATAAGCGAATGAATGAATGAAAGAATGAACGAATGAATGAGCGAATAAATAAATGAATGGATGAGTGAAAGACAATGAATGAGCGAATGAATGGGTAAATGAATAAATAAATGGATAAAGGAATGAAAGAAATACAATTGTACAACCCTGTTGCTAAAAATTGTAGATGATAAGAAAGCCTAACACAGCTTCTGGTATGACTGAAAGCATTCGATGAGCGGTCAGCTTCTCACCTTCTCTTGACCCACATTCAAAGGTGAGCGGGAATTAGCATGAATATATGAATAAATAAAATCATAATGAATGAAAACAAACAGACACGAGCGATTGGGTGTCAGCGACTCATAAACGCACACAAAGATGATGAGCAGAGCCATGAAAGCGATGAGATTTTGTTTTGCTCAGCCGCAGCACCAATTGTGATATTAATTATTCAGTTGTGGTAATCAACGTCCGGTCTTTCTCACTCTGTCCCTTTGTTTACACAACAATTGGTTTGATCGATCTGACACTGCTCTCTCACAGTGACCGTTGGCTCTCTCTTTAATACTTTTAGATTGTTACCTTTTTTAGATTGCAAACAACCTCTTTGTTTCTTTAGAACATCTCAGAGGAGTCATCAGGTAATTTCTTACATATAGAATAATAAGGCATTTTGTTCATGTTTTAGTCATATTAGATTTGTTATTTCGCTTTGTTCATATTTGGTTGATGAGGTTGTTTTACAGTTTTTCTCAATTGCTTTGATGCAGCCGTCAACTGAAACTCCACATTTTCAAAACAGTTAACACACAGGCCTAAACAGAAGCACTCATGGTCAAAATGACACATTTTGCTTGCAAAAGGCACATACCGTGTCAAAACATTTAAAATATGCAACAAAAGCTAGTTTTATCTTCAAACAACACAACTTGAAAACAAGTATATGAACTCTTTCAATTAATCATTACACAATGGACAACAAAATACAAAATACAGAATTCAGTGCACCATTGCTTGCCATTGTAGCCTATTGCCAATGCTGTTTGTTGTCTTTCTATTTGGGCTGTCAAATTTGCCTTTTTTGCAAAGAATTGGATCCAGAATAAGAAATGCTTTGATTAAATTTATATTGAATTCAGGACATTTTTCAAACTGTGGCTGAAAACTGAAATACTGTTAAAAAAAAAAAAACTGACAAAAAAATAAAATTCCTGTAAATATTAGAGAAAACACATGTAAATCAATATACAGTCAAATCTTTTGGGAGTATACTCTAGGACATAGCCACTATTGACCTCCTTCATCCATGCTGGCACAGAACAACACAGACCTTCCACCATTATTATGAGGTTTGCAGACTGATTGCTAATTGAAGATTTGTGTGAAGGAGTGTCAAAACAGTGCTTCAGTGAATTCATACTGATCTTGGTAGTTTCTAATGGTTAGGAATAGATGGTTTCTGTTTGGTTACCATACCTAAAACAATGGAGTTTGGACTGCTTGAATGACATCAGTGTTAAATGTTTTGAAAAATGGTGGGGAAAATGTGTCAACCAAATGAGAAAGGGTTTACACATTTGCAAGACCTGTCTTCTGCTCTGCTGGGATAGTGATAATGAAAATGAAGTGGAACCTAGTTTCTTTAATCAGGTCGAAGCAAACAAGAAAAACTGTAATGTCATTGACAAATGTATAATCTATAGCTCATAATATGATATGATATGATATGATATGATATGATATGATATGATATGATATGACGTGAAGTGATGTGATGTGATATAAAATCATTTTTAATATAATAAGTTTAATGTAATATATAGCTCATAATTAAAAATGAAAATGTGAACTGAAAACAAAAGTTTCTAAAAGTCTTAATATGAATGAATGAATGAATGAATGAATGAATGAATGAATGAGCGAATGAATGTTTAAATGAACGAATGAATGAACAAGCAAACAACTAACAAATAAACCAATGAATGATTGAATGAATGAATGAACAAACAAACGAGTGAACAAACAAATGAACCAACGAACAAACGAATTAATGAACAAATCAACAAACAAAGGAATGAATGAACAAACAAATGAATGAGTGAATGAACGAACGAATGAATGAATGAATGAATGAATGAATGAATGAATGAATGAATGAATGAACGAACGAATGAGTAAGTGAATAAATGAACGAATAAACGAGTGAATTAATGAGTGAATGAAAGAAGTTATTTTGATTTTCTTTGTCCATTATCATAATCAAATTATAAATTATTTATTTATCTTAATCATAGTTTGCATAAATGATTGTATTCATTTATTATTAATAAATATAATATTATTTATTATTATTGTTCTGTATTGTGCATAAATTATTATTTTAATCAAAGGTTTTCACAATTATGCATGCATTTATCTTTTTTATTTATCACAATTATCTTTATATTATTTAGTTTTTTTATTATTATTGTAAATGATTTAGTTAATTAGTAATTTATTTAAATTTATTTATACATTTTAATGTCATTTCTTTCCAAAAATTCCATGAACCATCTCTGCACTCCCTGGAGCCTCAGATTTACTTATTTGTTTGTTACTTTTTTAATGAACACAGGATAGAGTTCAATGATTTGCCGTGGAAACAGATGCACTTGTGCTGAACCCGGAATATTTCTTTAGATCTCTGTTTCTAGTAGTAATCTTGAATGTTTTTCTGCTGTTATCAGCTCTCTCTCTCTCTCTCTCTCTCTCTCTCTCTCTCTCTCTCTCTCTCTCTCTCTCTCTCTCTCTCTCTCTCTCTTTCTTTTCCTCTGTGGAATCGACTCAGGCAGGCAAGTTTAATGTTTATCATAAAAACCCTGAAATACAATCTAATATCCGCCTCTTTTGTCCACACCTCCTTCTCTGTTTTTAACTGCGGTGAATATTCATAATTAATCTGACGCAGCGATAATAAATTTGATGTGCTTCTTATCATCAGTCCACCGGGGAATGAAGTGGTGCAGAATTTGGCTCCTTGCAATTTTTGTGATTTTTGGCCTGACCCTTTCCCTTGCCCCACCAGTGCCAACAAGATAATTGAGCGGTTTCATGGTGAAGTGTATTGACCCATTATTTCTGTCTCTCTGTACAGTATTGTCTGTTCATTTCTCTTCTATAGCTCAACTAGGTTAACTCACCGGCCACTTTATTAGGTACACCTTACTAGTACCGAGTTGGACCCCTTTTTGCATTCAGAACTGCCTTAAAGGTGCAGTAGGTGATCTGCCAAAAAGCTAACCGCTTAGCATATTATCTTTGGTCGGCGGGGAGGGACTGTGATTCAAAGCCACACCCCCTGAAATCGCGATCGCGCGCAACAGCCGACAGACAACCCACTAGTTTAGGTCATTCGCCAGTTAGTTAGTGCCAGCACCGTGCAGGGATTACATTTATTATACTTAGCCACATGCTATTTCAGAGCGAATATTCAGAGTAGCATGGTAAACAGTATAGGAAGACTATCATTGTTCAAAAATGACCCAATGTGAATATAAAAGCAACTTCAGCTCAATAAAGCAGGTTAGGCGGTATATCGCTATTTGCTGGTGTTTTTTTGTTAAACTAAATATAAATCTACATTATAGATGCTGACAAAGAACCTTATGAAACTGAAAATAATCACATCAATCTTTCACCAGGATATTTCAGTGGCTGAACAACACGTCTGTGCATATAAGTCATTCATAACAGAACACAATATAACAAAATAGTTTCAAATCAGAACATTACCTGTCTAACAGTAATACTTCAGCCATAATGTCGTCCTTCCTCCAGCGTGCTAAAGTAACTCCAACATTGATTCAGGTATTTAAAAGTTTCAATTCAGCATTTGATTTCTCCCAGTCCGTCTCGTGACCGCGCGGCTGCTTTAAGAGCGAATTATACCCGTGCATTGCTTTACAGTAATCGGCCCGAGTTCGGCTGTCCTCCGGCGCATCCGGCTCCGACTCGGCATCTGCGAGCGGCCCGCAGCTCGCTCGCGCGCATGCGTTTGTGATGCAGACGGGCACGCGCTAATGGCGGATCTGCGTGAACACATGCACAGAAGTCGGAATCTATATGTTGACAGACAGTCTGACCAGCTTATCGGAATTAAGGGAGATGACGGTCCGACTCTATTTAATTGGATGAACATTTTTTTTGTTTAATGCTTTACCCAGAATATAAAAATACATATAAACACATTTAGATCATTTACTGTAATCATTACTATTGAACTGTGAAGAGACTTTCAACCAGCACAACAAAAAATGTTTCTGAAGACAATCACCTACTGCACCTTTAATCCTTTGTGGCATAGATTCAGCAAGGTACTGGAAACATGCCTCAGAGATTTTGGGTCATATTGACGTGATAGCATCACGCGGTTGCTGCAGATTTGTTGTCTGCACATCCATGATGCCAATCTCTCGTTCCACCACAACACAAAGGTGTTCCATTGGATTGTGATCTGGTGACTGTGGAGGCCCTTTGAGTACAGTGCCTGTTTTAGCTGACAAGAGTGGCACCCGGTTCGGTCTTCTGCTGCTGTAGCCCATCTGTTTTAAGGTTGGACATGTTGTGCATTCAGAGATGCTTTTCTGCAGACCTCGATTGTAACGAGTGGTTATTTGAGTTACTGTTGTCTTTCTATCAGCAGGAAGCAGTCTGGTCATGTTGTGGCCCTGTTGTGAACGGCCCTTTAGGCACTAGTTGTTGTTAAATGCTCTGTGTTTCTCTGTCTCTCAGACCACCCTGATCCGCCATCAGACCTGAAGCTGCTCCGTGTCGACCAGACCTCCGTTACTCTGGAGTGGATGCCTGGATTTGACGGTGGTTTGACACAGATCTTCCGTGTCAGGTGAAGCTGTCATAAATGCCGCTGTGAGGTGTCTGAAACATGTGGTGTGTGTTGTTGGTGTGTTATATCAATCAGTCTGGAGTGTGTCAACAGTGCTGCACACCTTTCACTTTGACTGATGTATAAACATTACTTTCTATGTAAATGAAGTGTGATGTGATTACCTCATAGTAAATGCAGCTGTGTTTATTTTTGTATTGTAAATGAGGCATGTTTTGTCCAAATGTTTGGCATCAGGTTTGAAAGTGTGGGATTCAATATGTGAGGAGTGCAAACATACAACCAAGGATTACAATTAGCTATTAAGAGTTTTACAATGTAATGTAAATTTACAATTTGCAAGCATTGAAAAACATGGCAAAAAATTATATAAAAAAGAAACAATATAAAAGAAAAACTCCAGTTGCAGTAATTTTAATTCACAATTTATTGTTAGATTATGTTAGCCCAAGCCCATTTTATTATAATATAAGCTGTGGATGTAGATTCTTTTTTATTTGTAAAACAAATTAAATAAAATATAAATAAATAGCTTTCACTGGTGGTTTGTTACCATTGAAATTAATGTTTAAAAAATGTAACCTTACTATACATATTTTACATAATTTAGTGTCAAATATTATTAATGCACATTTATTTTAAAGTAATAAATAAAATAATGTCTATATTAATTTTTCTTATTAAAATTATTTATTCATTCATTCATCAAATTTGTAACCCAGTGCTGGGAAATAGACACTCATTCACACACAATTTCAATTTCAGTTTCAATCAGGCCTTTATTTGTTACATATTCACTATACTTCTGTATAGTGAATATATATTGAAGGCATGGGATGAGGGGCTAAGTGGTGATTGTCTATCTGTAGCTGTGTGTGTGTGTAAGCCTGTAGAGTCCAACAGGTGTCCTTGACAGGGAGCAGGAATTTCAGAGCGTCTCCTTATCTTGCTATCCGGGAGAAGTTGTTTTTCTCCAGCCGAGGCCGTCTTGCAGGAAAAACACTATGGCCAATTTAGTTCATCCAATTCACTAATAGTACATGTCTTTGGACTCTGGGGGAAACCATTAGTCCTGGAGGAACATGGGGAGAACATGCAAAGTCCACACAGAAATGCCAACTGGCCCAGCCAGGACATGAACCAGTCACCTTCTTGCTGTAAGGTGATTTTACTAACCACTGAGCCACCGTGCCGCAAAATAAAATAGTATATTTATTTATTTGTTTATTCGTTCGTTTTTTCATTCATTTTCATTCACAAGGGTATTAGTCTCAAGAGAGAACCCCAGACTTCCCTCTTCCCAAACACTTCCTGCTGCTCCTCCGGGGGGATCCCACGGTGCTCCCAGGCCAGCCAAGAGACACAGTCTCTCTAGCATGTCCTGGGTCTTACTTGAGTCCTACTCCCAGTGGGACATGCCTAGAGCACCTCCAGGAGGCATCCAAAACAGATACCCGAGCCACCTCACCTGACTTCTCTTGATGTGGAGGAACAGCGGCTCTACTCCGAGCTCCTCCTGGGTGTCAGAGCTCCCCACCCTATCTATAAGGGTAGCCCTGCAACCTTGCGAAGGAAACTCATTCAGCCGATTGTATTTAAGATCTTGTCCTTTCGGTCATGACCCAAAGCTCATGACCATAGGTGAGAGTAAGAATGTAGATTGACCAGTAAATCTAGAGTTTTGCCTTTCGACACAGCTCCTTCTTTACCACAACGGACCAATACATCGACCGTATTACTGCTGCCATTGCACCAATCCGCCTGTCAATCTCACGTTACATCCTTCTCTCACTCGTGAACAAAACCCCAAGATAATTGGATTTTACTCCAACCTGGAGATGGCAAACCCCCTTTTTCCGGTGGAGCACCATGGCCTCAGACTTGGAGGATATATGTAGAAGAGGATATTTATAAAAATACTTTGCTAAATTGTATTCATCTCATGTCATTTACTCATACATTAATTATTAAAGTCCAAAGTTATCCTCTTCACTAAGACTTATTGTAAAATTTTACCAAAAATGTATTAATGCTTAAAACAAAAATCAAAATTATATAAAATTCAAGAATCATTTAAAAACATAAAATTTATTAAGAAAGCTAAGTAAGTAAATCTTTTAGAAATGTTTGCTATAAATAATAATGAAAGATAACGCGTAAAAACATTCCCATCTGTTTGACAGGTACCAGTGGGCAGGATCTGCAAGCTACATGTATGTAGACGTGTTTCCTCCAACAGCTACTGTATATACAGTCACAGGCCTCAACCCTTCAACTATGTACAACTTCTCAGTCAACGCTCTCAATTCAATAGGAGAGAGCAGCTATGCAGACAACAACAAGATCCTGATGGTCACCACTGCTGGTACGGTCAGGCCAGCCTGTCTTATAAAACTTCCCAGACTCATAAACAAAATTAATCATCATTTGGGTTTCGACCTTGGTGGTTTTGCTTTCAGGTTAGAAATTTGTATTTTTCTTTGCACTGATTTGATGAGCCATTTATCAGTTCCACCAATCACATCTCATTTGTAAGGCAAAAACAGACGCTGTTTTATTAGTGTCTGGTCTACACTGAGTGAAATTGAAATTTTAAGTTATTAAAAGGAAAGTAAGAAAAGGTTAATATGAAAACAAATGATAACAATAAATAACCATAACAGTAATAATAATAAAAACACTAAATTGAACCCTTTACTGTCACTCTCCATGAGCAATTAAATCCAAATCTAAATCTAACAAAAATGGTCTGAACATGTATATTTTGTCATATATTATTACCATTGTGGAAAAAAACTAAAGATTCTTAGTAATGTTGTTTTTAAACATTGTTTTAGATTCTAAATCTAAATCAAATACCACTAAACTGCCCATACTTCTTTAGAATTAGATATCTATTTCACAAATATTGTAAAAAGTATTGTTCATATTACTTAAACCAGGGTTGGCCAAACTTGTTCCTGGTGGGCCGGTGCCCTGCACAGTAGAGGTCTGCATTCCCGCGGCTCTCCCGCGGGCGCCGCAGGACCCGACCAGATTTCTGCGGCGCGGGAATAAATTTCCGAATAAATCGCGGGAGTGGTCGTCAACGGGTTTAATTTGGGATGGGAGCGGGCTGTCTAGCAATATCGCGGATATTGCTATGCGAATGAGAGAGAGAGAGAGAGAGAGAGAGAGCTTTGCCTGTGTGTGTGCTTGGTGCTTGTGTGTGTGTGTATGTTAGTGCGCGTGCGCGAATGAGAGAGAGAGAGAGAGCTTTCCCAGATAGCAAAATACACTCGGGCCAGTTCCGGCTAGATTCTCGCCTGCCGGAGACTTACCACTCAACCTGGCTCCGGCTGCCGGACTCCGGATGCTTGTGGACTCACTGCCCGATTCCATAAGCGAGCCGACGCTGCCGCATCCACACCGGAATCGGCCCGAGAGTAATGTGCGCTGCGGCCCGGAGCTGGCGCGACTCAGTATTTATATACCTTTATATAAAACCTTTTGGTATTACATTGGTACTTGATACATGGTATTACAAGCCTTTGAGTTGATATAACAGCAAACGCCTGTGTGTCTGCTTGGTGCTTGTGTGTGTGTTAGTGTATGAGAGAGATAGAGATTTGTCTGTGTGTGTGTGCAGGGATTGTTCTCCCCCGCTCTTTAGCGAGATCGGGCGCGGCGGCCAGAAAACGGGGCGGGTCGGGCAGCGGGACAATAAATTCTTAATATAAGCGGGAGCGGTCGGGTTCGGGCTAAAACCTGGCGGGTGCGGGCGGGAGCGGGAGTCAAAATTTAGTCCCGCGCAGATCTCTACTGCACAGTTTGGCTCCAACACTAATTAAGCACAGCTTAACATGCTAGACATGCTAACAGCACTAGAAATTTATAAGCAGGTGGTTTGATTAGAGTTGGAGCTAAACTGTGCAGGACCCTGGCCTTCCAGGACAAAGTTTGGCCACCCCTGGTACTGTGCTGAAACTAAATCCTATTGAAAACTATTTTTTGAGATATCAACTTCAAATTTGGAATTTTAATTTGTTCAAATATTTTGCTTAGATTTTCCATCAATTTTAGGGTAAACTAGTTTTATAAAATACATATTTATATAAAATGATATGATAACATACACATTTATTGTTATATTATTTTCATGAACTTAAACATCCATTTTTTATTTCACTAAACAAAAGAGATTTCCAACTATTTATATTGAATTTGTCATTTTCAATAGAGCTGATGGTTAAAGGGTTAAACATTTTCTAATTTCAGTCCCACTTGTGCTGACATCAAAAAATAACTACACTGTAGTATTGTGATCTTTTTGTATTGCAAACACACAGATGTAATTACATGCAGGTATTTTAAAAATATAGAAATTCAATGTAAAAACATGTGACACATAAACCAAATCATTTGTCTTTGGAGTTTCAACCACAATGATTTTATTGCAGGTTTAGACACAGGCTTAACCTTTTGCACTGATTTGATGAGCCATTCATCGATCCGACCAATCACATCTCACTTGCAAAAGGTAAAAATAGACACGGTTTTAATAGTGCTTAGACTCCTCTGAATGAAAGCTAAATTTAAAGTAATTTAATGTAAATGTGTAGATAAAAAGGACTAATATTAAAATAGACAGACAAAAATAAACAATCAAAATAATATTAATTGAAATAAAATGTTTAAACACTTTATAAACTCTACCAACAAAATATAAATGTGGGTATTTATTAACAAAAATACATTTGGATATTTTTTAAAATATAAATGCTATGTCAAAACATGACACATAAACCAAATGAATCATCTTTGGGGTTTCAACCGTGATGGTTTTTATTGCAGGTTTAGAAACAGGCTTTACGTTTTGCACTGATTTGATGAGCCATTCATCAATCTGACCAATCACATCTCATTTGTAAGGCAAAGATCACGGCCGAGCCTCATGCAAATAAGCCGAGCGGCTGAACGTCTACACCAATCAGTGTGCCAGTGTGTTTTCTCAATGCTTATTTCTGTCGGTATTTTGCTGGGTGTGTGAGAGAGAGTAAGAAAGATGGAGCAGGAGAGCGAGAGAGACAGAAAACAAAACCGTGTGATGTATGATAAATGATGATAAGCTACATTCCCTCGGCAAACATAATGAATTCTGCAATTGTAATGTCATAGCATTTGATTTGCAAAACAAATTAGTCATGAGCACAGGCAGCTGACGGAAGTACACTGAAAACTCAACACGGCTCCGCCACAGAGTTCATCCATATTACTACAGGCAAACTGGAGGTATTTAACCATAATGAACTATTTATAGTCGAATTCTGCTATTTTTTACTCACTCTTTTTTCACAATTTCACCATACTTATTATTCAGTCATAATATAATAATAATATATACCATGTATAATCATGTATATGAGCAATATCACACAAGAAGCAGTGCAATGTGGCTGTATATTTTCCCTGGTGGGAGGCGTGTGTTGGCACGAGATATACAGAGATATACAGCCACATCTCAATACTACGAGTGTGACATTGCAGCCTGATCTCACGAGGAAACGTAAGTATTTTACGTTTTGTCAGATTAGTGGCTAATTCGTACGAGTTCAGTCGTACGAAAATGTACGATTGTAAAAAGGAGGCGTGGCACCCAACCCCACTCCTAACCCTAACTTGTCTGGGTTCTGCCACTCTGGTCTTGTAAATGAGCTCTGACACTACCCATGTCTGGTTCTGTTTCTGTGTCTGTGTGCGCGCGCGCCGTCAAGGGTGTACGCAGAGTGTGCGCTGCCGCTTGATGTGGCCGCGCACGCACTGCGTCCGTCAGACGCACGCGCTCTTGTACTAGTGTTTGTGTTTTCGTCTGTCAGCAGCATGGTGTTTCATTCCCAGCGTCTCAGTCTTGTTGGTTTCGGTTTTGGTCGGCGCTGGGATGAAGCATGCACGCTGCGTGTGTGAGCGCACGGTGAGTGTTTTCATTCATCGTGTGCTCGTGTCTTGCATCTTTTGTCAAAGCACGTGGCTCGGTGTTTACATTGTGGTCACGTGCTTTTGTCGTGTGCTTCAGTGTTGTGTTATGTGAGCGCATGGCTTGCATTGTCTCTCTGTGTCATGCGCTCTCCCATCTATTGTCTAGTCCCACCCTCCTTGTTTACTCATTATTAGTTTGTCATGTTCACCTGTGTGTCAATTTACGTTTTGCTTTATAATCCCCCTCATGTTTTCAGTCCTTTGCCAGTTCGTCGTCGATAGTTTCCTGTCTTGTTGTGTCCAGCCCTGTCTTGTCCTGCCAGTCCAGTCAAGTTCGTTTGTTCGTTTATTTGTTTTATTAGAGTTTTCCCCCTCGGGGTTGTTTGTTTTGCCTTTTTGTTTTCATTTTATAATTAATAAAAACCCATTTTTGCTGCACCTGAGTCCTCGCTCCTTTTCCCCTCACCGACCGTGACATAACTATCATTGGGTAATGAGCAAATCGTACTAAATTGCTTTAACAGAAAAGCACTGCCACTCAGATTTGGATTGAAGATTCCCAAAACAAAGTGGATTAACTTGGATGTATGAATTGTTTGCCTAAAAACTAACAGTGTGCACTAGCAAAATAAACCTTGTAAATGGCTACTAGTACAACAGGCTAGTCTACACAGTCCTCAATAATAAAAAAATAAATAAAATACCTAAACATTCATGGCATATTATTTTGTTTTAAAAGCCAAAAACTAGACTAATAAAAACATGAAGTTTTTTCACTTATTTCTGCAGTCACCTTATTTCTGCTGGCTTTAGTACAGCAGGAGCCATATGTAATTTAATGCAAATGAAAACAAGTGTGTGAGAGTGCAGTCCATTCAAGTGCCTCGTTTTCGTTTGTGTCAAATTAAATATGCCATTTACTTTGACTCAAGTCTTTACACATCACAATTGGGCTTTTCAGGCTAGACTAAGTCTATAATCTTTGATTTTACACATTGGTACCTCTGTGCCTTCAGTGGAATTCATTATTTTCCACTCTGTAATTGCTGTCCACTCTAATGGACTTCAAAGCCCAACGTATTTCTCTATGGAAGGCAAGCAGCGCCAAAATGCTTGCAATTTGATTGGATTTTACCAACATGTAGACACTGACAAATTTTGACGTGGCAATTTTTACGAAAGGTAATATAACATCTGATGTTTGCTTACATCCATGCCAGTATATTAGTTTAATATTTATTACATGAATAAACTCAGGATGTGAATCACAGGGGTGTTTGGGGAAAGGGTTGACCCCCCAATTAAGGTTTGATCCCCCTTAAAGGACGTCAAAACAAGATGTATGGAGTCGTAGCTGTATTTTAAATAATAATGTTAATAATATAAATAATAGATATTAGACCACCCCTATAATAGTTCATACCATTGTGAGTGCATAGTCGTGCCAATCAGCCTATGCAAGAAAAAAAGTCATTCAACAGTCTGAAACCGGCAGATTTAGAGCACCGTAAGAGTTCACAAAACTAATTTCTCAGAAAATAGGTGTTTGTTTCTACATAAAGCCTAAAAGTAAAGTCAAATTCTATGCGTAGTTTGCACAGTTTGACCTAAAGTAAGTCGAAAATAGCTAATCAGGTCAGAATACACTAAATGTCTAACATAACAAAGAAAACCTAAATATATTAGATGTAATTTAAATAAATACATAAATTTAAAGCATGTATTACACAAACATTACCAAAAAAGTAATTATCATTTCATTTAGTTAATGTAAAAAGTTTATTTTGTATGTTTCACTCATTTTCTTTTACTGTAAGTATAAACATTACTAGATATATTTCCACACTGTCATTTTAGCCTGATCTCATGAGGAAACGTAAGTTGTTTACGTTTTGTCAGTTTAGTAGCTAATTCGTACAAATTCACACGAAAATGTAAGATTTTAAAAAGGAGGCGTGGCACCAAACCCCACCCCAAACCCCAGTCGGCATTGGGTGATGCGCAAATCGTACTAAATTGTATGTTTAAATTGTAATTGTGATGGTCAATCAGCATTGTCATACCAAACCAACATCTATCCATACATAACCTAAAGTGCACAAAAAACACAATTAATCTCATAATAATAATAATAATAATAATAATAATAATAATAATAATAATAATAATAATAAATTGGATCTTAAACAGACCAATGTTGTTGCACAAAGGACAGTCCTATCTGAGTATACCATTGTTTTGCATTTGCAAATGTGAAGCAATGACATTTTAAACAATTTTATAACGTACGTATCAAGCCTTGTTGTTTCTGAAAAAGTGACATTTGGAGCTTAAAACTGGTTCAAAACAAATGATTTGCAAATTATTTGAAGCTTCTCGAAACAGTATTTGGAAAGTAAAATAGATTATTACCTGGATGACAACCTAAATTCAAAATTTGCTGTTTACTTGATTATTGTAAAACTCAATTATTACTAAATGAAAACCTGTGGCTACTGATAATACTACTGAAAAAAACTCTTTTTTTTTTTTTTTTTTTTTACATTATCTCCTTTTACAAGTCCCCTAGAGTGAAACAGTTGAATTTTAGCAATTTTTAATACATTCAGCTAGTCTGTAGGTCTGGCAGGAGACCTTTTAGCTTAGCATAAACTATTAAATTGAATTAGACCATTGGCTTATATTAATCAAGAAACTTTGCTGCTGTACCATGGCTGCAGCAAGCACAATGATATTATGCAGTGTCTTCAGCTAGGTAAATAAAAGCCGTTTGCAATATCAATCTTCCTGTTGTAGCCATGGTACACTGTCAAAAATAAAGGTATGAGAGCTGTCACTGGGGTGGTACCTTTTCAAAACGTATACCTTTGTACTTAAAAGGTCCACATTGGTACCTCAAAAGTATATATTAATATCTAAAAATTTTAGGAGAAACAATTTTGTACTTTTTAAGTACTAATATGTACCCCTGGGTACCCTTGTACCAAATTTGTACCTTTTGAAAAGGTGCCATCCCAGTGACAGCTCTCATACTTCTCTTATTTCGGAGAGTATACAGCAGTTAAATTCCTTTGTTATTACACCAAAATGAGATGAAAGTTCCTAGCCATTTCTCATCGGTCTTAGTACACAGTGTAACTACAGAAGAGTCAAACTTTAAATAACTAAAAAGAAAAAAAAAACCTACAAAACTTTATTGACATTTGTGAGTGAGATGCTAATGGTCTAATCCGATTCAATTATTTATGCTAAGCTAAGCTAAAAGTGTTATTGCCAGACCAGGAGATCAGCTGAATGAATAAAAAAATGGTAAAACTCATCTTTATAACTCTAAGCAACTTGTAAAATTAAGCATATCTAAAATAAATATATTAAAAATGTGGAGTGTTTATCTAAGATCACATCAATGTTAAAACCTCACTTTTAGCTTTTCCTGTAGCTTTCAAATGATTCTCAATTGCCGTTATCCATTAACTTGTGTTATACGAATGTCCAAACATTCCATTTTTTACCTTAAGCTCTATCTAACCGTAGCATCAGTGCTTCAAAAGTCCCTGTTATTTTTTTTGATGTTCTGATTTTAGACTCACGGTCAGAGCAGAACAAAGTGACTGCACTCTGTAACCCCTGCGTTTTAGTGATTTACCTCTCTCTGTTTTGCTCTCAGATGCGAAGGAAGCTGACGGCGGGGTCTCCACAGCGGACCAGGACTCGGCTCTTGCAGGTGCTGCATTTCTTCCTCCGGCTCACTGCAGCTGCTATTTATCAAATGTAGAAAAGGCCTGACACCCCAGAATTCAGATCAATTTCTCAGCTCGTACTTCAGCTTTCCATGGCCTTTACCGGCCCGTTTCATGTGCTTTCATAAAGCCTTGGGGCTCAATGTTTTCCCCGCTGCGGTTTGGTGCAGTTTTGCTCAGGCTATAATCCTGAACGCTTTGGTGCTGTTTAATGGGACACAGTGGCAGTTATTGACCCTTGGTTCGGGATAGAGAATAAACTGACATTAGCTCGCGGCGAATTCGAGGTCCGCCAGATACTGCTTTGCATTTTGATTGGGTTTGTGTAGAAAAGATTCATTAGGGTTTTCAATTTCCTCGGATAGTTCCAATGTCATCAGTTTGATTTGGGAATGATACACTGTGTGAGGGATTTTTCCTTTTTTTTTTTCAGAGAGAGATTCATCAATGTCTCTCGTCTGTGTGAATAAACTAGTTCATGCGGCATCGGAGGTATTTTCACGCGGCGAGGCATGACTCGAGCGTGTCAAATCCGTACAATCACACGCTCTCTTCCTCAAAACTGTGACATATAGTATTGCAAATCCAACAAGACAGTGATGCATAGTTGTGCGCCTTCAACCCAAGGCATTTTTCAACATCTTGTACATATATATGTGGGATTTTTCAGAACAGCTGCCATTAATATATCTTATGCCCAAGAAGTATTTGAAGTCATGCTTTAAAGTGTCGGAATGTCATTACATCGGATGAAAGAATGTCTGCCCGAGTGGCAAACAAATGATTCTCGATTTCTTCTCTCGCTAACTCAAACTAATGCCATTCTGAGCTGTTTTGTGCAAATAGGTTTTAGCAACTGGTGTTTTGGGGAGATTTTTAGTGAATTTATTATGTCAGGGTGCATATAGGAATTTTACTCTAAAGCACAGTTTGATTAGCATTACTTAAAAACTAAAGTAACCGTCTGAGATATTATTGTTAGCTAAAAAACTTTATATTATTTATTAAATGTACAATGTTTTTGATGTATAGCACATATAATGTATAGTACACTGCCTGACAAAAGTCTTGTCATCGATACCAGTAGTAAGAGCTACAAATAATAACTTGACTTCTAGTTGATCATTTGGAAAAGTGGCAAAAGGTAGAATTACAGATGAATCATCTGTAGAACTGCATCCCGATCATCACTGCAGGAGACCTATTGGAACCTGTATGAACCCAAGATTCTCATAAAAATCAGTTAAGTTTGGTAAAGGATAAAACCATGGTTTGGGGTTACATTCAGTATGGGGGTATGCGAGAGATCTGCAGAGTGTATGGCAACATCAACAGTCTGAGATGTCAAAACGTTTGTGCTGCTCACCACAGGAGAGGGCAAATTCGTCAGCAGGATAGCGCTTCCTTCTCATACTTCAGCTTCCACAACGTTCCTGAAAGCAAAGAAGGTCAAGGTGCTCCATGATTGGACAGCCCAGTCACCAGACATAAACATTATTGAGCATGTTTGGGGTAACGTGAAGAAGGAAGCATTGAAGATAAATTCAAAGAATCTTGATGAACTCTGGGAGTCCTGCAAGAGCGCTTTCTTTGCCATTCGAGATGACTATATTATTAAGTTATTTGAGTCATTGCAGAGATTATGGTAAGCTTATGGGAGTCATACACAATATAAAATATTTTTCCACTGCACCATGACTTTATTTTTTATGCTGTACATTATTTTTTGTTAAGTGACAAGACTTTTGTCTAAGCAAAGTCAGACCTTACTGTCCAAATTAAATAATTAAAAATCAAGGCTCAATCATATATTATTTTGCTTTTTAAAGAGGAAGAATCAAGAGAAGCAAAAAATTGACAATTTTTGTTGAAATTGTCTAGGTCGTAATTAATTTTTGCAATATTTAGCTTGAATTTATTTGTATTATTTTCAATTTCTACAGATGTTTGGTGACTTAAATATTATTTTAATAAATATATCTGTTTAATAAATCTGTTTTGTTTATATGCACCGATAAATACATTATTAGCCCCTTTAAGCTAGATTTTTTTTCTATAGTCCACAGAACAAACCATCATTATACAATAACTCGCCTAATTACCCTATCCTGCCTTAAAATGTCACTAATCTGTATAGAAGTGTCTTGAAAAATATTTAGTAAAATATTATTTGCTGTCATCATGGCAAAGATAAAACAAACCAGTTGTTAAAAATGAGTTATTACAACTATTATGATTAGAAATGTGTTGATAAAATCTCTCAGTTCATTTATTAAACAGCCAACTTAAGCAGCACGTTTTTACGCAGCAGATGCCCTTCCAGCCACAACCCATTTCTGCGAAACATCCACACACACTCATTCACACTCACACTCATACACTACGGACAATTTAGCCTACCCAATTCACCTGTACCGCATGTCTTTGAACTGTGGGGGAAATTTGAGCACCCGGACTAAACACACATGAACGCAGGGAGAACATGCAAACTCCACACAGATATGCCAACTGACCCAGCCGAGGATTGACCCAGTGACCTTCTTGCTGTGAGGCGACAGCACTACCTACTGCACCTTTGCGTTGCCACATCTTCTTTCAGTTAAACAGAAATTGGAAAAATATAAACAAGGGTGCTAACAATTCCGATATGTATATATATATATATATATATATATATATATATATATATATATATATATATATATATATATATATATATATATATATATACTTTCCCCCCCCCCCAAAATCTAAAGTTAAGGCACAGAAAATGTATATACAAAAAAACTGTCAATAGCTAACTCTGACTGCGCCCCTAGCAAAGGTACAACTATAATATATTAAAATGATCCCAATAAAAAAATTATATTGGGAAAATAATATTAAAACGATCCCAAAATCGAATAGTTCCTGAAACTAAACCAGCTCCTGAATGAAAATAGGAAAATGAAAAAATGAAAACAAGAAATAAAAAAATAAAAAAATCAACAACACTGGTTGCAAGTTTTATTTTTATTTCTTTTATTTTTATTTATTTATGTTAATTGTTACATTAAATTGCTATTAAACCATAGTAATAATTACAATGCTACATTATATCTGTGACAACACAGCCTATTAATTGTTTTTGGTAATCTAATAATTTCTTTCACAGAAGTTGCATGAGTCGGTGGATGTTTAATGACTAGAAAGTTTTATTTTTGAATAATTTTAGATGTATTCATTTAACCAATGCTTTTATCCAAAGTAACATGAGGATGTTTAGCCAATTCAAATCCATCCATTTTCTTTTTGTGCAATGTAACAGGTGGTGGCCTTCCTGTCTATGTGGTGGTGATCCTGGTTGTGGGCGGTGTTCTGTTCCTCCTGAACCCATTCATCTGCTTTCTATTGGCCAGATGGAAAAGAAGGCGGAGCCTGAAAGGTAATGGACAGCGAAAAGTCCTCAGCATGTCACTGTTTCTTCTTTGCTCTGTTAGACAGCGTGTCCTAGACTGGTCGACTCCCGGCGACAGCACGCAGCGCAAAAGGGATGAACTGTCTGAATCCTAATATGACTTCTCACTTTTAAATCCATCTCTCTCTCTCTCTTTCTCTTATCTCGCTCGCTGCCTCCTCAGCCATCTGCATCATCCCGCCATCTCTCCTTTCCCCGGCAGCTGTCACTTCCTCCCTTCGTCTCCCCTTATCTCGCCCCTTTTCCTTTCGTCCTCTGTCATTCTCTCTCTCACTCACCCCATCTGTCTTTTTTTCGCCTCGCCCCTTTCCTTCAAACTGTCAGGTGTCTTGTCTCTCCTCTCTCATCTCTGGCTCCCCATTTTTTTCCCTTTTCCCTTCTATTCATGAACCTGTCGCCCTCTCTTCTCGCTTTCAAATTGAACGGCCCTTTTTATCAGTTTATTAAAGCTTCTGTCACAACACAATTTGTAGGGAGGAAACCAATAATTGAAATGGCGCACGATGAATGTTTCCGTACACAAACAATCTGGTGTTCTGTCATTTTTTTAATGTTTTGGCTTTCTGTCGAATTTCTGTCATGATGTCCTACTTGCGTGACCTTTGACCTGTTACAATTCGCTCTCTTTTTGGTTTTGTGCATCCAGGGGACACCAGCAGCATTTCACAGGAGACCAAAAGTGAGGAGCAGAGGTGAGTCGTGTTGGTGCACTCAATAAAAGCTCTTTTGCAGGTTTGCCCACCCAGTTCTGACTCCTAAGAGATCTAAACTGGGTAAAATAATAACAAAAACTAGAATTTAACAGTTTCTGAGCGACAGTACAAAAAACTGTTAAAAAACCAGTGCTAAACCAGTTGCTGTGATGCTTAAAAATTATACCATCCACAGCAGTGCCATATAACAAACTTTTTTGTTTACACAAAGAAACTTTCAGTGAAATATTTTTTCCAATGCAAATGTAAAAATGCCCCTGTTCTGCTTTTCTTGGCACCTTTCTTCTGATAATGCACTGAAATTACAGAAATTCAAGCTTTAAATACCTGACAAACAGCTTGTTGTTGATCCCAGTAGTAAAAACTTGACTTCTAGTTTTTCATTTGGAAACGAGACAGAAGGTACATTTTTCCTCTGAATCATCTGTTGAACTGCATCCCAATCATCACAAATACCACATGAACCCATGATTTTCATAGAAATCAGTCAAGTTTGGTGAAGGAAAAATCATGGTTTTGGGAAACATTCAGTATGGGGGCTTGCGAGAGATCTGCAGAGAGGATGGCAACATCAACAGCCTGAGATATCAAGACATTTGTGCTGCCCATTACATTACAAACCACAGGAGAGGGCAAATTCTTCAGCAGGATAGCGCTCCTTCTCATACTTCAGCCTCCACATCAAAGTTTCTGAAAACAAAGAAGGTCAAGGTGCTCCAGGATTGACCAGCCCAGTCACCTGACATGAACATTATTAAGCATGTCTAGTATAAGATGGAGGAGGCATTGAAGATGAATCCAAGATGAATCCAAAGTATCTTAATGAACTCTGGGAGTCCTGCAAGAACACTTTCTTTGTCATTCCAGATGACTTATTGATAAGTTATTTGAGTCATTGCAGAGATGTATGGATGCAGTCCTCCAAGCTCATGGGAGTCATACACAATATTTATTATTTTTCCACTGCAGCAGGACTTTGTATTCTACACTGTACATTATTTCTGTTAAGCGACAAGACTTTTGTCTAAGCAAAGTCAGTCCTTATTTTCCTAATAAAATAATTAAAAATTAAGGCAGGATCATATTTTATTTTGGTAAAGTAAGCCTAATCTAGAGGCCTTTGCCTTTTATATAAGCCACTTCTTATATCAAATGATCAGCTAGAAGTCAAGTTATTATTTGTTGTTCCTAAAACTTGGATAAGCGACAAGACTTTTGTCAGATAGTGTACACTCTTAATTGTTTATGTTCAATCCACTTAAATTTGTAAAAAGATAAAAGTTAACATAATCAATTTCTGGTGGGACAACATGAAGGACTTGTTTGGAACCCAGCATTTTATTACAGTGCAGGAAAATTGTAACATTTTTGAGTGAGATGCTAATGGTCCAATCTGATTCAATGATTTATGCTAAGCTAAGCTAATAGTGCTCAAGCCAGATTCAAAGATTGGATTCAAAAATGGTAAAACTCTAACACTATAGGACTTGTTAAAACAGCTCCAAAAAGAAAAGTGGAGTGTTCCTTTAAAGACCCTTTAATGGAATGGAAAAGTTACTATGTTAAAGGTTGTTAATGGAAACATCTACTGTATGTCAATGAACCTTTAATTTAGAGTGTAGGATTGTCAGGGCTCTCATCAGTGCAATTAATTAATTGACATGAGTTGTTTTGACTTACATATTTTAATGAATGTTTGTTTAACTTAATTTAAACATGTTCAGTGAACTCAATTTCATAGGGAGAAATGGTTTAGACTTTAATATTGAATGTTATGTTAAGATTCGTAAAAATTTTATAGCAAAACACAGATTACAGATCCAGTTAAGTCAACACAACTTAAATGATCTAAGTTAATGACAATATTTAATATATTGCACGTTTTCCCCGTGTTCACATGTATCCTCCGAGTGCTCCAGTTTCCACGAGTTCAAAGACATGCATAGTGTTTGTGTGAGATTGAGAGTGTATGGGTGTGTCCCATCAATGGGTTGCAGCTGGAAGGGCATCCGCTGTGTAAAACATTTGTTGGATAAGTTTGTTGTTCATTCCGCTGTGGCAACCCTTGATAAATAAAGGCACTAAGTCGAAAAGAAAATGAATGAATGAATATTTAATATATTAGTTAAGTAGTAAATACCCAGTACAATAAAGTTTAAACTACTCAATTGTATTAAAGCAATGACTTTGCACAGTTTAATTAAGTAAACTTAACAGATATATATTTGCAGTGTTTCAGATTGGTTGTCAGAGTAGTTGTGTCAAAAGTTTAATACTTGGAATAGGGAATGCGAACAAACCCATGTGCCGAAATTTGAGCTAAAGTAATGGTGATTGTGAGCCTTAGTGGGCTGCACTAACAAGCTAGTCCAGCATGCTGCGATGGCTCAAAGGCATTCAGAACAACTTCTGCCTGTCTGGATGAGCTTCCAGTGGCTACAGAAGCCCTCAAGACGATATATAGAAACGTTGCTTAGCTTGCATCTCCATAAATAGACTCCAGAGAAGTACAGAGTGTTCATTTCACCAGCCTACAGGTGACAGAGTCATGAGCTGCAAAAATAAAACAGAGCGACAAAAAAGAAGCAGAATAGACAAAAGTCTTGAAGTTTTAGTGGGATATTAAAAAGAGAAACCAAATACATCTTGTGTATGCAGCTTGAAATTAAACAAGCCATGAGATTTCGCGTTTATTTGAAATGGCTTATAATAATGCACCCGAAATTTTACATATTTCAGACATCTGTATTTATCCGCAGCTCCTTCCTTGCTTGCAGAAGTTCTTCTGTCTGGATTTCTGGCATGCAGTTGTGATGTGTTGTGAATGTGAAAGTTTCTCTCTGTTTCTGCAGGTCCACAGCGAGCAGCTCGACCCGCTATGCGAGCAGAGAGCTTATCAACGCCTCGGCACAGCGAACGCTCCTCGTCGACAGCAGCTCAGAGCCTGACAGCAGCGTCTATGAGAGCTACGGACGGGTAAATCACCGGACACTCACGCAGTCTTGTCTAGCATTTCCTATGATTTTGTTCTACCTAGGGAGGTGAAAACAACATTCAGATAAAAACACATGAAAGGAACATTTGTTGGCTTGTAATAAAAGATCACAGCAGAATACCCAATGCATAGTCCCACTGAACACATCCTTTCTTTTTTTTCTTTCCTGACATCTCAATAGCAGGAGAATCCTCATTATTACTACCCAACTGAGGCCTACAGTCCTGCCCTGTACGCTCACCCTGAAGGCCCTGAGGATTACGGTGAGGCTTAGCTGAATGTGGTTAGGTAGAGATTTTAAAGCATAATTATTGTATAATGTTGTTTTTTTTTTTTTTTTTACATTTTAAATCCGTTCCCTCATTACTTTCTCAAAACTGGTCTATTTAAAGGTCTCATGAAGTGCTTTGAAATGTGATATTTTTTATTTGATGTTTGACGTAATCTTAACTGAAACAGGAAGACAAGGCGGGATTTATAGTAGCCCTCCCCTTTAAAAAACAGCCAATGACAATTTTTCTTGAGTGGTTGAGCTCAAGTCCATCAAATGAAAAGTAAATGAGAAGCATCTCAGTGTGTTTCTCAGTGTGTTTTGTAGCCTGTCAATAGGATGCAGTTTGTTAGGATCGAAAATGAAGGGGGATTTATTTGGCACAAATGTAAAAAAAAAAAAAAAATCAAGCAAAAAGGTGAAAGTGACAAAATAACAATAAAGAAAAATAAACTAGTGACTTCGAAGACTTCGATGCATGTATCAAAAAAATTATACATCTCGTTGTGAAGCAGTGTACCGAGCTTGATTCATTTTGCCTTAATAATTTTCACCTATACCCACTTGACTGCTTCGAATTTTAATCCAATGGATTAAACACGCTTGTGGGTTAGTAAAGTGTATAGCGAGAGATCAGGCGTCGAATATTCACATTTGTACTGTTTCAAAGCACTGTGCCAGTCCCACGCACCAGTAATTCAACTAAAATACAATTAATTGTAAAAAGCTTTATTTTATTTTTTTTTTTTTTTTGAGCCCAGAAACCTCACTCCCATTCGCCTCCCATGCATGAACTGGTTCGATTCCCTCTCGGAAATGAGTGTGTGGGTGATGGACCGGTTGGAAAATAATAGACCTAAATAATTTTGAATACCTTAATTTTTACTACATTTATTGTGGTGTAATGCACATACAATGGGTGACACTTCAAAATGACCATTAATACTGCATGTGGCGCCGCAGCGCTTTTGTGGGATTAAGAACGTATTTTAGGTGTAATAGCAGTTTGCAACTATGCCACCAGGGGGCACAAAGACAGCTGTAAGTACCCTGCTACTAGTAAATGAAGATGAAATAGTGAAATAAAGCATTATAATTCCTTCATAAATTATTAAAAACTTGTTAACATGCTTTATTATCATTGTAAACTTGTTATAGTTGCTAGGGATTTCTAAGTGTTTGTAGCCAAATGAGTTCTGAGTGCTTGTAGGCCATTGCTATGCAATAGTTAGGGTGTTTTTAGCTTTTTAGAGTGCTTTCACACCTGCCTTATTTAGTTTGGTTGAATCGGACTAGAGTTTGTTTTCCCTCTTGGTGCGGTTCGTTTGGGCAGTTGTGAATGCAGCAATCATACTCAAGTGCACACCAAAAGCGGACCAAAAAAGCAGGGGAGAGGTGGTCTCGGTATGGTTTTAAATGAACCTTGGAGCGGTTTGTTTGTAGTGAGAATATCATTCAAACTAAAACAGACCCAACTGCAAAAAGTGCTGCGCCTTTTGGACTAATTCAGCTGCAATAGGCCGATGCATTGCATTATGGTATATGGAGGAAAATATTTGTTGACAGCGCCTTACCAATAGAGAGAGAGAGAGAGAGTGGAAAACATTACCTGATGGATCATTGGTTATATTTCCGCAAGATGACCATGTCGCAGTTTAGCTAAATAATTCACAACTCCTCCTGAAGTGACAAGTGATGCATTAAAACATAGTTTTTCAGCCGGGCCACGCTTCATTCTCAAAATGTATAGTTTGTCTAAAGCAAGGATACAATCAGTCAGCGCAGTCATCCCTCCATTGTAAAAAACTACATTTTGTGTCTGCCGGTTTGTTTACTTGAGGGAGTTCATTGGTATGTTCCTGCACGTGAATTCTGACCAATCGATTAGCAGTTTAGGCACTATGTTCAACAACATCTGGCCAATGAGAGATGTGGATTTTGTCAGATGAGTGCATTTTGGTTCTTTTCAATTGGTTTGGACCAAAGCCAGCAGTGTGCTGTGAAAATGACCCAAAGACGACAGAAGATGCAACAATGTAAATGGTTTCCGCTACATTCATTCTTCTATGGTGGGGCACCACACCAAAATACATCCCGCCACGGCTACATTACAGCTTCTTATTAATTGAAAACATTCATTCATTGTTGTTTTGGTTGTTGTTTGTAATAGCGGGTGATTATCGCACCTAAACGTATTAAAAGGTAAGTGAATTATGACAGCCTGAACTTTTCTGTTACCGTAGTAGGGCTGTGCGTTATTTAACACTTTAAGGTGACGTGCTGACAGAATGACTGACTTACTGACAGGTGTGCAATACGTGAGGCCAGCAAACATGACGTAGCTTTCAGTTAGGATGAACACAGTTTCCAAAACTATAATCTATTTAAAGATAAAGGTCTGTGATTCTGCATGCAAAGACTTGAGAGCGCACAAGAAGATCTGCGCTTGAGCAGCGTGTTTGAGGGCGTGAAAGAAGTTTTGTGCACGAGCAAATGAAATCGCAAAGCAAAGATTGGCATGCTCGTATTAACGTTACATAAATGCGACCCCGACGTGTAATACTGCGCTCACCACATTTCTCCATTTGTCATTGAAATACGCTATAGGTAGTTGGTAGATTTGTTTAAAAGACCTGACGCAACAGCTGGAAAAAAATCCCAGAGGAAACACTTATGTATTATTTATTGCCCTTTGTCCGGACCAAATGAAGCGAACTACAGATATGAAAGCACCCTTAAGCATATCGCTATGCAGTTGCTTAGGTAATCTGAGTGTCTGTAGGTCGTCGCTATGCAGTTGTTAGGGTGTTTGTTTGTTTGTAACTAAAAACGAAGTGGTTGTTAGGTTGTTTTTACTTTTTGAAGCCTATCGCTGTGAGGTTGCTCATGTGTTCTGAGTGTTTATAGTTCATCACTGTGCAGTCGGCAAGTGTTCGTTGTTGTCTAGATATTACAGTTGAAGTCAGAATTATTAGCCCCCCTAAATTATTAGACTGCTTGTTTATTTTTTCCCTTATTTCTTTTTAACGGAGAGAAGATTTTTTTCAACACATTTCTAAACATAATAATTTTAATAACTCATTTCTAATAACTGATTTATTTTATCTTTACCATGATGACTGTGAATAATATTTGAATAGATATTTTTCAAGACACTTCTATACAGCTTAAAGTGACATTTAAAGGCTTAACTAGGTTAATTAAGTTTACAAGGCAGGTTAGAGTAATAAGGCAAGTTATTGTATAATGACGGTTTGTTCTGTTGATTATTGAGAAAAAAAGAATAGCTTAAAGGGGCAAATAATTTTGTCCCTAAAATGGTTAAAAAAAAAAACTCAAAACTGCTTTTATTCTAGCAGAAATAAAACAAATAAGACTTTCTCCAGAAGAAAAAATATTATCAGACACACTGTGAAAATGTTCTAGCTCTGTTAAACATCATTTAGAAAATATTTTAAAAAATCGAAGAGAGCTAATAATTCTGACTTCAACTGTATATGTCTCTGGCCCATTCTTCAACGTGGGATCTGTTCACCCTGTTGATCATGTGCCAGTAGAAAATCATTTAGACTAGCTTATCTCTCTTCAACAAGCCACATGATTTATAGTGTCATTCATGCCTGTACCACAAACAACATGTGACTTGTTTATTATTCACTCATCGTGAAACAAGGATTTGAGCAAACCTGAGAGCGATCCTTTCCATAGCAGACATAACAACGAAATGTTTTATCTCTGTCTGATTGTTACGGGATGCGTTTTAGATCAGTTCATTGTCCTATATTTCTTCTTTTAAAAGCTCTTTTGTTTTGATGCAGAGCGAGCATTCAATATTTGAGCAAACCCCTCCAGTGACGGTTGGTTTTGGATTAGTTAACAATTAAAGCGTTTGAATGTACACGGTTGAAGTATTCATGTGCTGAGAGTCCTTTTCTCTCAGTGCTCTGAGTGCTTTTAGTTCATCACTATGCATTGCTAGGATCTCACTATACAGTTGCTTGGGTGTTCTGAGTTTTTGTAGTCAATTAATATGCATCTCTAGGGTGTCACTATGCAGTTGCTAGGCTGTTCTTAGTGTTTGTTAGTATGTTTTGAGCTTTTGTTTCCCATTGCTATACGTTCTGTGTTTGTAGTCTTTTGCTATGTGTAGGCAGGGTTTCACTATGCTGTTGCCAGTGGTGGAAAGAGTACTGAAAAATCATACTTAATCATACATAAGTAAAAGTACCATTACTTACCTAAAAATGTAGTGCAAGTAGAGTAAAACTATCTGTTGTAAATATTACTCAAAGGGTGAGTAAAAAGTAGCCCTTTCAAAAGTACTCAAGAGTTGTGAGTATTGTGCTGTAAAAGCTGATGCATTTACATGCAATTTGTGGATGTGTGTAAACGTAACATTCTGTAGTGCAATTAGTTATTATGCCGGAGACAAACAACATCATAAGACATTATTTTAGGTTAGATTTAGGTTGTGATATCCAGTGACCAAATATCAATGTCAGTCCAGCGTCTAAAGACAACAATACTTTGATGTCCATTAACAACGTCAAATGACATTGATATTTGGTTAATTTTAGATTGCGTAAGAAAGTGACCAAAATCCAACGTCGAACCAACATCTTAAATTATCTCGATGTCATATTGACATCAACTACTGACATTTATTCATCAGGTATGCCAACTAAAATCCTGTTACCCGCACCGCCTGCCCTGCACATAGTGTTGTATTTATACTTCTGTGTGCTGTTTGTGTTGTTCTGCAATAACACTTCCCAAATGCTAGCTGATAGTAGATTTTATCTTCCTCTGTGTCGAGTTTCTTCGCTGGTGTCTTGTTTTTTCTGAACGCTACCTTAATGTACAAGTAGCTAAAACAACAACTTTAATCATAAGGTAAACACAAAACTAAAGTTTTCATCTAGAGCTACTTCATGGGACTCGACACTTGTAAGCACTCGCTCTATCAGGCTCGCGGCTTTCACCCCCGCCCACATTCATCACAGGTACCAAGCCAACCAATCACAGAGCTTATGCTACACATTGTTGCATCGTGTAGTTAAAACGATGTGGAGGGGGGGGTGTGGAGTGTGGAATTCCGGGAGTTTTTCAGGAGACAGAACGTTAAGGGAGATGGGTCTGAAATACTGGAGACTCCCGGGAAAAACGGGAGTGTTGGCAGGTATGGTATGGACTATCCTGTTGAACAACATGGCGAAAAGTCCTACAAGACGGTAATAGTTTAATGTAGGTGTTTACATGTCTGTACTGCACTTCAATAATCGCCATACTCCACATGTCTTAATCCGATTTCTGTTTAGTTCGATTATGACCTTAATCTGATTAAATGAATCAAAAACCACTGTTTACATGGTCGACTCTTAATCAGAGTATAGTCTTATCAAATTAAAACCGGATTATTGGTGTCCATGTAAACATACTCAGTAATGATTAATGTTTAATATTTTAAAATGTCATTTCTATGTTTTCACTGTACAGCGAATGACTTGTTTGTTATTAACTTAGGGAAACTTACGGATTTGAGTAAGCTTAAGAATGAAAGTGAACCTTTCCTTTGCAGACATATCAAATGATGTCATAAAAAAAACTCTCTGATTGTACAGTTGTTTTCTTTCTAGCGACAGTTGTTTTTCGATTAGTTAGCAATTAAGCCATTTGAATGTTCACAGTTGATGTGCTGAGTTTGCTTCCCTCCAGATGGCAGACACGGCACAAGCCCTTTCACTCATGTCTATGAGGAGGTGAGAGGAATGTATGAGGACCTGCAAGCCTGCTCACCGCTGCCCCCTGCTGCACACATTCATCCACAAGCGCCGTTTTCCACTTATTATGAGGTGGGTCTGATCCAGCAAACATTTGGTTCTGTTTTGGTTAAAGTTAAATGTTAAATGATAATTTAAGCTCATATATTTCTTATCTAAATTCTCAGTTTTAATTCAAATGATTTATGTTGTACGCAAGCTCTATAATGATTATTGCACTGAGTGATGGTATTGGATGATGGTGGTGCAATAGTTTTCATATAACAGATTCTCTCCGCAGATTCTATTTTGTTTATGGATGTCATTTATTTGGATTTTTTCTCTATAGGGAAGAGCATACAGTAAAGCTGATGTGGACGTAACAATTGGAGCTTATGATTCAATGGTGTACAGACGCAGAAGAGATACAGACCTGCCGTTTGAGCTCAGAGGCGAGCTGGTTTAATAAGGGTTTATCTGGCGTATATGGTCTGCTCAGGTCAGGTTTAGGAGTTTCTAAAACATTCCTTTTTTTGCATTGTCTGGTTTTACTTATATGTGTTTAAAATTTTCCTGTTTGAAGAAGATTTGATTAGATAATTCATATTTAATTTGTTCTATAAATATTTAATTTGTTTTTTGTTTCTATAATCATTTTATTTGAGATATTTTTAGATTTCTCTGTAATAATCCAACAAATAAATTACTTGTAGAGCACCATTTAATACGTTTTTTTTAAATAAGTCATCTTTTATTTGTTTAAAACACAATACTAAGAGTCATATTATCAAATGCAATTGAAGTCAGAATTATTAGCCCCCCCCTGTTTATTTTTTCCCTAATTTCTGTTTAACAGAGAGAAAAAAAATTCAACACATTTCTAAACATAATAGTTTAAATAACTCATTTCTACTAACTGATTTATTTTATCTTTGCCATGATGACAGTAAATAATATTTGACTAGATATTTTTCAAGACACTTCTATACAGCTTAAAGTGACATTTAAATGCTTAACTAGGTTAATTAGGTTAACTAGGCAGATTAGGGTAATTAGGCAAGTTATTGTATAACGATGGTTTGTCCTGTAGACAAGCAGAAAAAAAAGCTTAAAGAGCTAATATTTTTACCTTAAAATGTTTTTTTATTATGTTTTTTTTTTTATTCTAGCTGAAATAAAAAAAATAGGACTTTTCCCCAGAAGAAAAAAATGATCAGAAATACTGTGAAAATGTCCTTGCTCTGTTAAAAATAATTTGGAAAACATAAAAAAATAAATAAAATTGGAAAGTGGACTAATAATTCTGATTTCAACTGTAAATGGTTTCTTTTTTTATTAGTATTATTTTATTTATTTGTTTATTTATTTTTTTCTGCGACATTACTTTAGTTTTAAGTTACATGCTCCTTCAGAAATTATTGTAATAGTATTATTTGGTGGTAAAAAATACATTTTGAACAATAATTAATGTTTTGTGCTACTTAACGTTGTAATGAAAACTTGATATCTTAATAAATAGAATGTTTAAAAAACAGTAATATGATACATAAATGTAATTATTTTGTATACTGTTAAAAAAATCTTACTGCTTTGAGATTGTTTAGTTGAATCAAACATAACAACATAACACAAACATAAAAACATTTGTTGTAATGGTTTTTTTGTCATATCATTTGTTACAGTGTATTAACACATACAAAATTAGGTCATTGTGACATATAATAATCAGGTACTATTGCATAATATGTCACGGAATTGTATTACACTTTAAAAACTGCTGGGTTCCACACAATCCCTTTATTAAGTTCCTTCATAATCATTTTTACAAATATACGCAGATTTAATGTAAAACAATTACTTTATTTATCCCCTAAAAAACTTAAGAATTGTGTTTTAATTCATTTTAAATGAGTAATCTGAACAAGCAGCAAAATCCATTTTGAGTGTACTATTTGTATTATAGGGGTCTTAATTATGTAATTAGTCATATAATATAAAGTCTGACTCTTATTTGAAGTTTAGTGTGTACATTTCTGGGACGTTCAAGTGTTCTCAAACACCCTTTGTAATAAAAATCTCTAATAAGAACACAGGGGTTATGTAATTCAGCTTTGTAAGTGATGAGTTACTATCAGACATGCTATTATTTATCCTGGGCTTAATGGTTTTTCCTGATGGCATGATTTCCTCTTGGGATTCTTGGAAAGCGTGGATGCTTTGTCCCTAGAGGAAGGCTGTGAATGTGAGAACAAGGATAAAAGTCTTGGATCCTTGAGTCTGAGGAAGCCTACAACAATAACAACAACAGCAGCAGCAGCAGCAGCCTTCAATGGCACTGGTTTGTGTTCTCGTCATGTATATGTCATCACAAGGATTAAACAAGGAAAATAGGCGAAAGGTAAATTTTTTATTGGCCTGAGACAAGATCGCGGGCTTGGAAAAGAAACAGCTCACCCAAAAGCCCAAATTCTGTCATTATTATTTCATCCTCGTGTCAGTTCAAATGCATTATTTTCTTTCTAATGCATGTTTTGTAGAATGTTCTTGATGAAATTTTCCATATATGATTAGATTCCTTAAAAGAGTTTTTGCTTTGGTTTGTACAATATTCTAACACTATATAAAAAAAAGGTTAATGTATTACATTATTGCACCTTTCAATATGCCCTACAAACAATTTTCACTCAGAAATGACCAGTGTACAGGTTTATAAATGACAGAATTGTAAATGAACACACTGCATTAAACATTTCTGGATGGATTTTTATTAAAAAAGTACTCCAGTAATATTTGTTGCATTTAAATCTTTAAAGGCTCTAAAACTAATTTAGTGGATTTTTAAATGCCACAGTATAAATAAATAACTACTACTCTAATAACATTTCTGAATATCACTTCATTTGTGTGTGTGTGTGTGTGTGTGTGTGTGTGTGTGTGTGTGTGTGTGTGTGTGTGTGTGTGTGTGTGTGTGTGTGTGTGTGTGTGTGTGTGTGTGTGTGTGTGTGTGTGTGTGTGTGTGTGTGTGTGTGTGTGTGTGTGTGTGTGCGTGTGCCTGTGCCTGTGCCTGTGCCTGTGCGTGCGTGCGTGCGTGTGTGTGTGTGTGTGTTGGACACCAAATAAATAGTTAATTTGCTCTAATTTTCATTTGTTTATTATATTTTTAATGAAAAGTATTTACTATTTGACAAACCAATTAAATTTGTATTAATAGTGCTTAATGTCTTTGTTGCATTTTAAAAAAAATATTTATGAATAGAAAAATTTTACTAATTAGTTTTAAGAAGCTTAATTACTACTCCTTTAACTCTGATATGATTTTTTTTTCCCCAGCATGGTTTATCACAGACTTTACATGTACTGTATGTTGAAGATTTGAATCTGTTATTAATCTAATATTCTCCTATAAAGGTTTTTTTATGTTAAAGAAAATAATAACACAGCATAAAAAATGATAGCATCATGCAGTTGTTGGCTGCACATTCATAATGTAAATCTCCACCACATCCCAAAGGTGCTCTATTGGATTGAGGTCTGGTGAGTATGGAGGTCATTTGAGTGTAATGAACTCCTAGTCATGTTCAAGAAACCAGTCTGAGATAATTCACACTTTATGACATGGTGCGTTATCCTGCTGGAAGTAGCCATCAGAAGATGGGTACACTGTGATCATAAAGAGATGGACATGGTCAGCAACAATACTCAGGTATAGGCTGGGGCGTTGACATGATACTCAATTGGTACTAATGGCCCCAAAGTGTGCCAAGAAAGTATCCCCCACACCATTACACCACCACCATTAACCTGAACCGTCAAAACAAGGCAGGATGAATCCATGCTTTCATGTTGTTGATGTCAAATTCTGACCCTACCATTCGAATGTTGCAGCAGAAATTGAGACTCATCAGACCAGGTGACTTTTATCCAATCTTCTATTGTTTAATTTTGGTGAGCCTGTGCGAAGTGTAGCCTCAGTATCCTGTTCTTAGCTGACAGAAGTGGCACCCAGTGTGGTCTTCTGCTGCTGTAGCCCATCTGGCTCAAGGTTGGACATGTTGTGTGTTCAGAGATGCTCTTCTGCATACCTCGATTGTAACGAGTGGTTATTTGAGTAACTTTTTCCTTTCTATAAGCTGGAACCAGTCTGGCCATTCGCCTCTGACCACTGGCATCAACAAGGCATTTGTAACCACAGAACTGCTACTTACTGGATATTTTCTCTGTAAATCCTAGAAATGGGTGTGCGTGAAAATCTCAGTAGATCAAAGTCACTTAATTCACCTTTCATCCTCATTCTGATGCTCAGTTTGAGCTGCAGCAGATCGTCTTGACCATGTATACATGCCTAAATGCATTGAGTTGTTGCCATGTGATTGGCTAATTAGAAATTTGTGTTATCAAGCAGTTGGACAGGTGTACCTAATAAAGAATAAAGTGAATCTTCATTCATTTATTTTTTTGTCGGCTTAGTCCCTTTTTTAATCCGGGGTCGCCACAGTGGAATGAACCACCAACTTATCCAGCAAGTTTTTACGCAGCGGATGCCCTTCCAGCTGCAACCCATCTCTGGAAACATCCACACACACATTCACTCATACACTATCTACAATTTATCCTACCCAATTCACCTGTACCGCATGTCTTTGGACTATGGGGGAAACCGGAGCACCCGGAGGAAACCCACGCGAATGCAGGGAGAACATGCAAACTCCACACAGAAACGCCAACTGAGCCGAGGCTCGAACCAGCGACAGCACTAACTACTGCACCACTGCTTCGCCCCGGCCGGAGAATCTATACATATTTTTTTTATTATCTATAGTGGGTATAGATATAGTTTTTGATTAGGTATAGGGTATAGTATAGTTTTTTTTCCTCATGATCACTTTGATTGATAATAAAAAAGCCTAGATGCTTGGATTTAGCTAAGCCTCACCTTTGTGTTCAAATAAAGAAGGAAAGCTATCCAATTACTTCATCAGGGTGACCAAATGACCAGCTTTTAATTTTGATTTGAACTCTTCCTTTGATATTAACCTTCTTTCTTCTGTCTATTTTGCTGGACCCGTTCAACTAAGCTGGCTTATCAAGAGTGGATGGGAAATTACAGGTTGGGAAGCCTGCCAGAGCTTCAGTACACCATCATAACAGCTTGTTTAATTGTAAATCAAAGGTAGTCTATAACCCATTGTCTTCCACAGGCTCTAATTTCTGAGATTTTTATTGCTGTCGTTTGGCAGGAGAACTAACGCTGCATCCTCCCTCCCCTTTCCTGCTGTGCTCCTCAATACTGAGATCGGCCTTCATGTCGGCGGAGCCCTGGCTGTGACCTTTCACCCTGGTGCCGTCATGACAGAGAACAGACTTTCATCGCTGCTAATATGGAAACAACTGTTCCGACACCTGGCTGGAGGTGGGACCGTTTTCATCTCCTCTCTTCCGTGTGCCCACAGTCCACTTGCCCTATTGACCGTGTGACCAGCTGTGTCAAACGCCTCAAGCAAACCATGCCGTCTGGCCATGAGATGAGTATTACCTCCCACTTCGAATACGCTTATGTTGAGACACTGCAGGCGAAAATACTGTTTTTATACACCTCTCTCTTTTGAGATTTTCTTTTGAGTCTAATAGATCCAACATACACTAAAAAAGTGATTCATTGGATTTACTAAAAAAGTGCAAGGTAAGTAGGATTCATAAGGACTGAATTTAAACAATTAAATTACCAAATTTATTTTGTTTGTTTAATTCAGCCCGTATAAATTGTTTGCAACCATTTACCTTAAAAAAAATGGAAATCCAATGAATCGTTTTTTTTTTTTTTTAATATAGGCATTTGGTTTGTCAC